GTACACAGAATCTCTTGGATTGCAATTTGCAACTAGACGGATGTACTGTTACTTCCTCTACAGTCAAAAATCTGGGTGTTATATTAGATAGCAACTTGTCTTTTGAAAATCATATTTCCCATGTTACAAAAACAGCATTCTTCCATCTTAGAAACATTGCCAAGTTACGAAACATGTTACCTGTTTCTGATGCAGAAAAGCTAGTTCATGCATTCATGACCTCTAGGCTGGACTATTGTAATGCACTGCTAGCTGGTTGTCCTGCATCTTCAATAAACAAGCTACAGGTAGTCCAAAATGCAGCGGCTAGAGTCCTTACCAGGTCAAGAAAATATGATCATATTACCCCAATTTTACAGTCTCTGCACTGGCTACCTATTAAGTTCCGAATCAGTTACAAAATATTATTACTTGCCTATAAGGCCCTTAATGGGTTAGCTCCTGCGTACCTAACTAGTCTTCTAGCACGCTACAATCCATCACGCTCCCTAAGGTCGCAAAACTCTGGACTATTGGTAGGACCTAGGATAGCAAAGTCCATTAAAGGAGGTAGAGGGATTGACATCCCGTGGTAACTAGGATTTACACAAGCTTCAGTCTGGACCCAGAACACCTGAGAAGAGATGATGCCAACCCCTCAGAGGACCTCAGATGATGCCAACCCTGAAACAACATACAGAACTACCAAATTTTGCTATAAGTTTGATTGCATCATATAATAATTGCTGTTAATAGTGTTCATCGTCTGTTTGATTACGTCTTTAATTTATTTTTCTGTACATTTCTGCCATATGTACAGTAACTGAGTCACCACTGATAAGCTACTACTAAATATTGTAGAAACTTATTTTGCTGTAAAGTTGCTTTGCAACGATTTGTATTGTGAAAAGTGCTATACAAATAAACTTGAATTGAATTGAATTATTATATTAGTAAGTACATGTAACGTGTAACAAGGACACTGTAAAATAGCGTTACCCAAAAAGGAAGTACTTGTAACTCTATTATAGAGTACTTATCATCAGACTAAAGTCATATTGTTTCAATACAAATTTATTGCATTTTTATTACATATCATTCACACAGTTTTTAAATGCACAAATTCATGTCATTTCATATTTATGTAATGCATTCCCAAGCCTTATTCACTTAATATAGTGTTAATTTAGATTGCTGAACATTATTTAAAATGTGTAACTGTAACAAAGATTTAAGTCTTACCCGACAAACAGGTTGAATGATGTGCTGTTTCCTGGGTAAGGACTAGTGGTTGTATAGCATCGATCCAACAGAACATTGAACCTTTATGGGGAAAATATATATGTATATATATATATATATTTAAAAAGTGATCTATCAACTTCAAAAATATTTCATATAATAATAATAATTTACATAAAAGATTTTCATTCTGGATTACATCAGAATGAATGTCTCTAAAATTCATAATTTTTGTCGGTGGCATCCATATTTCATAGGCCACGTCATGATGGATAACATAATTGATAATAATCTCAAACTGAGCAAAGTACCTCTCTGTGAGATTAGTGGCTCGGACTTCCACAAAAACCCTGGTCTTCAGCATGAGACCCGATGGAGGTATGAAGAGACGAGTTGTATATGTGTAGTCCTTTGAGTCGTTGCAGAAAGACGGTTATGAACACATGCAACTGGCCAGTTCCAATAACTCTTGAATGTTATAGTCGATAATGTGTTATGCTAAAGGTCATTGCTAAACTAAGCCAAAGGAACATAAAATACCTCAAAAAGAACCATGCTTAGAGTGCTGATGAAACTACCGTTATTGTCCTTAATTGCCAGACTCACTCCAGATCTGCAGAACAACAGTGGTTTGTGTGTAAATGACTTAACACATTAAATCATTTAGAATGAACACATTCCAGGATAAGACATACAGTGAAAGCCAAAAGTCTGAGATCACTGAAAACGTGTTTATTTTTCATTTTTCTAATATATTCTTCATTACAAATTCATAAAATGTGATATTTTGTACAACATTCACATGATTACAAATATGCTTATTTGATTAGTGGCCTAAAAATAGTGTTAACATTTCTTCATTTTATGGCATAACATATCTTTAATTTTTTTTTTTTTCTTAAAACTTTGAATCTTGAATTTTCAGTGTGGTCTCAGACCGTTAGACCTCACTGTACATGTTCACTCCACTCACACACTCATCTCCGTGTTGTTGACCAAGTACTGCAGTGGGTATCTACAGGAAAAGAGGTATTTCATCTCCTGCCGGTAGGTGATGGTTCCAGCGTTCGGATCCTGAGTATTGACCACCCCAGAGATGTTCACAGACTGCACGCTAGAGAAGTCGGAGAACAGCCCAGATCCAATCTCCTCAGTGATCTGTTGAGATGAATTACGGTAGTTGAACAGTGACAGCTGGGATTGACTAATTATATATAATAGAAGTATATTATAAGACCACAAAATAATAGAATGCAACTCAAAGTTCTTTACAGGTCAGAAAACGTCAAAACAAAACAAACAAACAAACAAAACAACAAACAAATAAATATTTATTTATATATATAGATTATATATATATATAATTGTATTATTATTATAGCAATTATTATTTTTATTATATCTGCTGAAAAATGTCTCATACCGTCAGCTTATTGGCGCAGATGGATATGTATGGTTCAGTGATGTAGAACTGGAATTTCATTACAGGTGGGTTGACGGTCCAGTCAGCGGTTCCTCTGCACTCAGGTTTGCCGAACTGACCATTAAGAGCCACCATGGATTCATTATATCCATAGAAGTACATGGGGCACAGCAAAATCTGAAGATCCATCCTGTTTGTGCCACACACAACTGTGATATCAGAGTTGTCTGTAAAATAAAAAAGATAACAGTTGTCACAGTAACCTCTTATGATGTTTATTGTTTGCACATCTTTGGTATGGAAATGTATGATGCTCTTTATGCTGCTAGGACATTTAAAACCACAGGAACCATAACTAAAAGAAGGACACATCATTAAAATAATACTGCATGTTTAAGAAAACACACTCCTCAAATTGCTGGGTGGTCCCGGGTTCCTTTGTGGTTCCAAAGGAAATGAAAGGTGAGATAGCGATGAGAGAATTAAGGATGTATAAAGAGGAAGAGGAGAAGAGGAGAGGATACATGTATGCTTTGACTGACCCGGGTCTCTGAATGTTGGGTGGGTGAGGCAGGGACTCTGAGCCTCTGACTGGAGAATCAGGACGAGCTGACACACTAGGAGGGCTGGCCACATGATGCTCTGGCTGCAGGGAAAATCCCACACATCACATTATCACCTTGACCTCGATTCACTCAAAAACAGATTTTAAAAGCGAAAACACCTACTTACTATCAAATCACGCAACAAGTTTTCCGTTCTGTGTTCAGGTGTCACCAACAGGCTCTGAATGTCCCAATTTAAATGAGCCTGATGTCACTGGCCTCACAGTTTTAGCTTTTGATGAAGGAGAGCACCAACAAAGAACATCTGACTCCTGTTTTAAACATGAAAAACATACATATTAAATAGTCTATATTACAAATAATTCAATAAATTTTGTGATGATAGATTAAACAATAGAATGACGTACGGGCGGAAAGACGGAAAGACGGAAAGACAGACAGACAGACAGACAGACAGACAGATAGACAGATAGCAGACAGACACACAGACAGACAGACAGACAGACAGACCGACCGACCGACCGACCGACAGATAGATAGATAGATAGATAGTAACAAATCTAAAAAAATTTTTATTAAAAATAAAAAACACGAATAACAAATACAAATTATTTTTTTAATTAAAAAGATAAAGCATAAATAATAAATACAAATAATTTGTAAAACTAAAAAAAGCACAAATGATAAATACAAATACACAAATAAACACAAATGTACATAATTTCAAAATAAAGAAAACCACACACAAATAAACAAACAAAATATACTAAATCAGAGTCATCTAGTAGGACTAATATACTCAGACCAGAACTTAAATCATAAAGATGTACGTATTACCTTGTGCACCTTCTCTCTTTCGTTGTCTCTTTCTCTGTGTTTATGACGATATAGCTATTTATACTGGCCCCTTTCTATCTATAGGTGTGAGGGAGGGCACCAGAAACACAGCAGGGGTTATGAGAAGTAAGGGACGCCAGAGGAGGAACACGAGGAGCTTTAAGAAGATCAGTATAAGTTCAGTATCAGGTAACATGTCTGGAATACAAAAAGCACAAAATTGGCTTTTGCACGTTATATTCTATTAATGCATTATATCACTGTGTAGCAGGCTGCACTTAACTGTGCTATTATAACAAAGCATTATGCAACAAATATGTCCACTTGAAGACAAAAGGTGATCAAGTTATAAAACAGGACACTAATGAAACACATGGTCTTTTCTAATAACACATTATGTCACACTAACATACTAATAGTCTATTTTAAGACTGATAGTCGATATTGCTTCATTTGTTGAAAAAGAAAAAATAAATAGCCTTTTTGCAATTTAAATTTATATGATAAAATGAATATAAACATAAAATTTTTATTATAGAAAAAATATAATAAATAATTGATTGAGGATAATTGTCGGATATATGCACAATCTTCTTATTTTCACAAAAGGATGATAAAATAAAATTAAATAACCCCTCTTGTAATTTCAGAACTCTGAACTATTATATTTTATAAATCGAATGTAATGAAGAGCATCATAATACCTTCCTTAAACCAACAATAACTGTGGTGTTAGCTGTCTAAATATTCATATTATTTTTCATAAAATACGCACACACTCTCAATATCCTTTTTTTAGTGTATGTGGTTTCAGGTATGCTGTCTTCGTGAGAAAAGGTAGCGTCACCTCATCGTTTTCTAGAAATAGATATCACACCCTTTCAGACAAAGCCTGCCATGGTCAGAGTGTTATTTCAACAAAGACAGCCCCTCTTAAAACTACACAAGATAGGGACAATGTAGTACACAATCTTCTAAGACACCGTTCGTCTGGCTATCTGGTTCCTCAGTCACATTGTTTAATTTTTAATCTTCTGGACCAGCCAACCTGGGCCCTAATGCAATATATAAAGTATTGCGATACATATTCAATATCTGCAGGATCAATTCAGTCATCTATTCAGATTCACGTAATTATCATTTGCAAAATAATATCATGAAGATATGCATAGGTAATTATATTCCTCAAGTAATTTACCCATTGTGTATACTTGGTTACTTGATGTGCGCCATTTATTCAAGGCCAAATGTCAAAACATGATCATGTGGATTATTCTCAGCATTCTCTCTCTGCCTGCAGGGGCGTCATGATCAAATCTTCTCCCTCCATTATACTATATGTCCCAGTAACACAAGCTGGATGAAATCACAGGGAACAAATCGTACGATAAGGCGTACAAATGTCCTGATTTCATTGTAACCTGAGATTCGCTCATTAGTACTTTTAAATCATCTTTACAGGCTGAGTTAAAGCTGCTCTGAAGTGGCTCTGTGCCACTTTAAAGTTGTTTGTAAAAATGCAATGCTGCATAACATTAAAATATCACCTCAGTCCCTAATTCAAGATCAGAGCAGCATTAAGCTTTGTTGTTATGGAAGAGAATATTTCAATTGTTACGCTATTTATGGCTTCATAGATTTTTTTATATACATAAACTAATATTTTTATTTCATAAATTCGTATTCAACCCTCTATGGGACTAATTGTGAATTCACAGCTCGAAAAAATAATTGACTTTATATTTTACATATATTTAGGAGTAAAATCATTTTCCAAAATTTGTTTTCTACATCTGACCTTTTTCTTTAGGGTTCCGTCAACTGACTTACATTTTCAGATTTTTTCTTTAACTGACTAAATTAATTTTGGCGAATTGTCAGAAACTTCACACACAATCAAATGCATTTTCACTATCTGAAAAGAAGTAAAAAGGTCTTACTGTTTCAAAAAAACATTAAAAAAATCTTTATGAACATTCAATTTCTTCTTGAGCTGCTATATTTGATTTGGAACTCGTGCGTGAAAATGTCTAAAACTTGACACAAATTCGGATGCAATTTCACTGTCTGAAAAAAAAAACGTCTTAGTGTTTCAAAAGCATTAAAACAACTTTAACATTGTGTTTCATCTTGGTATTTCAAATCAATTATCATAGCACAAGTGAAAGTGAACAAGACTCTTATTTTTCAGTGTACCCCACACATCAGTAGATTTTGACTTGTGCAGTCCTCATTGGAGCATCGCTGCCTGTCAGAATACTAATGCCAATAGACACTAGACAGCGCAGGGTCAGTCACGTGACTTTTATGATGCGCTTGGAGGAATTTATTCGCAAAATGCATTTCCATCTTCCATTATTCGCATCAACCCTTTTTCGCACAAGTCAAAAACCACCTCAAGCGAGCGTAAAAACTTTTTTGCAAATTAAGGGATTTTTATTCGAAATTAGGCGTTTCCATCACTCCATCACCAAAATAGGGTGATGGAAACATAGCTACTGGCATCTTTCCTGACCTCTGGTTGTTGTATGGATCACTTCTTTCAAACTGTGGCATGCAATAATATACCCAAATGCCTGACTTCCACAACAACCTATTCTTCATCACTGCCCTCACACTCATTGCCTCTATCCTCCTTGGTCCTCAACAACTTCTTTTATTACTACAACCTGATTTTCTATCACTATCATCAATACTTTCTGAAATAAGTACAGATTTGTCTCTCCATCTTCCAAAAATTAACCTAAAACACGTTCATAAAGGCTATTATACTGATTGCCAATGCTGGTCAATAGTACCAGTTACACCAAATATGCATCCCATAATAGAGTTATTGTTATTGATGAGTTATTGTTTTTATAAACGTGTATTAAAAATGACAAAAAAAACTTTTGAAAATACCTCTGGATGTATGATTATATTTTTTATAACTTGAATTGATATGTATTTTCTAGTCTAAAATTAGCTCACTGTGGAGCCTTGAGAGCATGTGACCTAACATGTGCTAATGTCTCATTTACTACTTTGTTACCAGAAATGTGAAGCACATGGCAATTAAATTTTCATTTTACTGGTTGAAGGGGATGTCATTTGACATCACTAAAATACAATTTTGTTGGTAACATTATTATTGTATCTTAAATGCAATTTTCTTACCGTCATTCATAAATGACGATATCCCATAGAAGGTTAAAATATCCATTTCATACAGTAAGCTATGTGAATTACCAGACTAATCCAACAGTGTTTTGCTGTCTCACTTATCAGGCGTAATAAAGACGTTTTAAACGGAACATTATCTTTTTTTTTCTTTTATGTTTGATGGTGAATCTATAATAAAGTCATAAATAATGACAGTGCTTGAATCCTCCAATACTCAAGCAGCCTTCCTTCCTGTTGCTATGGTTACCTCCTCGGGCGACTTCTGCTGGCAAGCCAAGCGTCTATTAGCGCGCTTGTAAACTTTCGTTGATACGGCAACGTTGTTTAAAAACGCATCTTACATACTTCAAATAAATAATGCTGTAATAAAAGCGTCTTTTTCGTACTAAATATTCGCCTTTATGGCGTTTCGTTTGTCATAGTAATAAGCTACACATTACAAGACAGGAAAACTGGCAAATCTGGTTGTAGTTACCATTTACCAATGTATTTATTTGTGGTAAATGACAGGGTAGTTATGACGAAACATTCAGGCATAAGACATTTTTTCAATATGAATACAGTACAGCAATTTTTTGTCAACAAGAAATAAAAAAACCCCCAAAGCCACAGTGTTTTCCTCCGGTAACATGAGTTAACAAACGACGACCATATGCCATAATAATACAGTACAAGTGTTCACACGTGCAAATACGATCAAACAGGCACAGCCTCAGGTGAATGTTGGTGTTACAGATGGAAAGCACTGTGTTAGTGCTCCTCCAGAGCTGCGTTCGCTCAAGATGTACCAGAGGTCCCTCGTGCGGATATCAAACAGTGGGTGGCTTTCGTCTTCCATCATTAGGGATAGAGTCCAGTCCATCTTGTTTGTTCACTTTCACTTGGAGCTGGTGTATTTGGTCACGGCCTTTGTGCCCTCGGACACGGCGTGTTTGGCCAGCTCTCCCGGCAGGAGCAGGCGCACGGCCGTCTGGATCTCCCGGGATGTGATAGTGGAGCGCTTGTTGTAATGCGCCAGGCGCGACGCTTCTCCGGCGATGCGCTCGAAGATGTCGTTTACAAACGAATTCATAATGCCCATCGCCTTTGAGGAAATACCAGTGTCCGGATGGACTTGTTTCAGTACTTTGTACACGTAAATGGCGTAACTCTCTTTCCTGGTCTTACGCCTTTTTTTATCCCCCTTCTTCTGGGTCTTGGTGACAGCTTTTTTAGACCCCTTTTTGGGAGCGGGTGCTGATTTCGCAGGTTCAGGCATTGTGTCGGTTTTTCACAAAAGCTCAGCTGTCTATGGATCGTTATGGTATGCGAACGCGCTGCGTACATTTTGCCCCCCATTTATAGAGTCGGCATGCAAATTAGAGCGAGCACAGAATGTGTTCTGATAGGATGACTTTCTAACGTCATGGACTAAAACTCGAGCGGCGATTGGTTGCTTGCTTTAGAGTCAAACCAACCAGTCAGAGCACACGTCTGGGTATAAATACCAATCCCTGCTTACATCATAAACGAACGTACGTTTGACTAGCAACACAAAACAGGACGCTTCTGACAGACGGTTCCTTTGTTGTCAAAATATGTCCGGAAGAGGTAAAACCGGGGGGAAGGCCCGCGCGAAGGCTAAGTCTCGTTCATCCAGAGCTGGACTTCAGTTTCCAGTCGGACGTGTACACAGATTATTACGCAAGGGAAATTACGCCGAGCGCGTAGGCGCAGGAGCCCCCGTGTATTTGGCCGCTGTCCTGGAATACCTAACGGCTGAGATCCTCGAGCTGGCAGGGAACGCAGCCCGAGACAACAAGAAAACAAGAATCATCCCCCGTCACCTGCAGCTGGCTGTCCGCAACGACGAAGAGCTCAACAAGCTTTTAGGCGGTGTTACCATCGCCCAGGGCGGAGTGCTTCCAAACATCCAGGCAGTGCTGCTGCCCAAGAAAACCGAGAAGCCAGCCAAGAGCAAGTAATGACAGGGTAGTTATGAAGAAACATTCAGGCATAAGACATTGTTCAGTATGAATACAGTACAGCCTTGTTTGTCAACAAGAAATCAATAAAAACCAAAGCCACAGTGTTTCCCTCTGGTAACTTGAGTTTACAGCCACACGAGTTAACAAATGACGACCATATGCCATAATAGTACAGTACAAGTGTTCACACGTGCAAATACGATCAAACAGGAACAGCCTCAGGTGAATGTTGGTGTTACAGATGGAAAGCACTGTGTTAGTGCTCCTCCAGAGCTGCGTTCGCTCAAGATGTACCAGAGGTCCCTCGTGCGGATATCAAACAGTGGGTGGCTTTCGTCTTCCATCATTAGGGATAGAGTCCAGTCCATCTTGTTTGTTCACTTTCACTTGGAGCTGGTGTATTTGGTCACGGCCTTTGTGCCCTCGGACACGGCGTGTTTGGCCAGCTCTCCCGGCAGGAGCAGGCGCACGGCCGTCTGGATCTCCCGGGATGTGATAGTGGAGCGCTTGTTGTAATGCGCCAGGCGCGAGGCTTCTCCGGCGATGCGCTCGAAGATGTCGTTTACGAACGAATTCATAATGCCCATCGCCTTTGAGGGGATACCAGTGTCCGGATGGACTTGTTTCAGTACTTTGTACACGTAAATGGCATAACTCTCTTTCCTGGTCTTACGCCTTTTCTTATCCCCCTTCTTCTGGGTCTTGGTGACAGCTTTTTTAGACCCCTTTTTGGGAGCGGGTGCTGATTTCGCAGGTTCAGGCATTGTGTCGGTTTTTCACAAAAGCTCAGCTGTCTATGGATCGTTATGGTATGCGAACGCGCTGCGCACATTTTGCCCCTTATTTATAGAGTCGGCATGCAAATTAGAGCGAGCACAGAATGTGTTCTGATAGGATGACTTTCTAACGTCATGGACTAAAACTCGAGCGGCGATTGGTTGCTTGCTTTAGAGTCAAACCAACCAGTCAGAGCACACGTCTGGGTATAAATACCAATCCCTGCTTACATCATAAACGAACGTACGTTTGACTAGCAACACAAAACAGAACCCTTCTAACAGACGGTTCCTTTGTTGTCAAAATATGTCCGGAAGAGGTAAAACCGGGGGGAAGGCCCGCGCGAAGGCTAAGTCTCGTTCATCCAGAGCTGGACTTCAGTTTCCAGTCGGACGTGTACACAGATTATTACGCAAGGGAAATTACGCCGAGCGCGTAGGCGCAGGAGCCCCCGTGTATTTGGCCGCTGTCCTGGAATACCTAACGGCTGAGATCCTCGAGCTGGCAGGGAACGCAGCCCGAGACAACAAGAAAACAAGAATCATCCCCCGTCACCTGCAGCTGGCTGTCCGCAACGACGAAGAGCTCAACAAGCTTTTAGGCGGTGTTACCATCGCCCAGGGCGGAGTGCTTCCAAACATCCAGGCAGTGCTGCTGCCCAAGAAAACCGAGAAGCCAGCCAAGAGCAAGTAACGGAGCTTTGCGATCATGGACAATGACATAAACGCAGCTCGGCTAGTTTGAGCCCAAGTAATGTTATGTTCCTATTTCACACTATATTGTGTTTGCTTTAATGGCAATGACAGCTGCATCTTGTAAACTTTGATTTGTTTTTTTTTTATTGCTGATTTTGGACAGACGCACTCCCTCACACAAGAAGAGATCTACACCACCACTGGCTATAAATGGCCATGGGACGTTTAACCTGCCATCACGGTGGACTATCCTTACTGAAAAAAAAAACTCCATTTGTGGGATGAATGAACATCAGTATTTCATCGTATATGGACCAATGTTGGTTACATTTTATTTGTCACTGCTTTAAATTACATGCAAGTCATGTCAGTTATCTGCTGTTTAAGTGATTATGTTGTTTCAATAAATGTTGAGTGCCAGTGGAAGGCACAAAGAACCTGTGATTCATTGTTTTTCTCCAAGTTGCATGACTTGAGTGGTCTAAAAGAGAGGCTCTAATTAGAAGTGTGCTACATGAAAGGAGCACTCAATGCTTTTTACATTAAGAAATTAATAGCGCTTTCTTTTTAAAAATAGAAAAACATTCAAATGATATGTCTGAGTTGAACATTGGAACATAGACAGAAAAAGTTAAATTGTACATGGTGGAGGGTCCCCTCTCATGGCCACAGCCATCATGTGACATGCCATGTCACACATTGAGTTAGTAATATTTACGTTACAAATAATAAACAAAATATACTAATAAAAAAAAAGTATCTAAGAAACATATTCATTCCACAGAATCAGTTAAATTTACAAAGTTTTAAAACCATTATGCAGAACAAATGATTCATTATTGTGCCAAAAATGAGAAATCAACAAAAATAAACAACAACTGAAAAACCCATAAAAAAAAAGTTATGCAAACAATGCCCTGTGAACACTGTTGTTTGCTATTAAAAGGACTGTGCTGTAATGGCTTTGTTGGGTGCTATTCTTCTGAGACTCTTCTGGTGCCATTGATCAGTATTAATATTAAAGAATTAATAATTGACTAATTAGGAAAACACAATATACACGCTAAAGAGCCAGATAACGTAAACAAAAACTGAATGCATCACCAGCAGTGTGACTGCATGTTCCAATATGGCCATAAAATCTATTAGTTACAACATTGCATTTGGTTTCGATGCCGTGATGAAGCCATTTTTAATTAGATATCTCACCGACTGAACTGGAAGTTAAGCATAAATAGATCAGAACCATACTTATTATTCCATACTGTTTAATGTACAAACATAACTCTTATTATATTACAGCCTTTAGGAGTCAGTCCAATTACATAGAAAAGAAATAATGTGTCCACAGAATTCACATCCAGTGTGCTTAAGACTACTTTATTAAGTGTCTGTAGTTTTAAGTACTTCAAAAACTTTGTAACAATTGTGTTGTTACACTAGTAATTAACACAAGGGCTTCATAGCCAAGATGACCAAAACTTATAACGTAAAAAATTATGTTATAGACAGCAAGGAAAATTCAGCGCCTTGCACTTATTCAAGCCAAAATAATGCTTTCCCCTCTTCAAATCATAACGCTGCCTTTAAAATACATTATGGTTTTCAGAAGTGGTAATTACATGAGATATTACAATAAATGTAAAAGTGATTTAAATAATGTTATATAACGGCTTTGACAGAATTGGGCATGTAATTACATATAATTTATGTTATAGACAGCAAGGAAAATTCAGCGCCTTGCACTTATTCAAGCCAAAATAATGTTTTCCCCTCTTCAAATCATAACGCTGCCTTTAAAAGACATTATGGTTTTCAGAAGTGGTAATTACATGAGATATTACAATAAATGTAAAAGTGATTTAAATAATGTTATATAACGGCTTTGACAGAATTGGGCATGTAATTACATATAATCTCCATTTTTCTCTGACTTTAAGCCTATTTCTCTGCGTACCCTTCTGTTTTCATGTCATTCAGCCCCAAGTCTTCATTCTGCTCAAAGGTCCTGGTGTACTTCTCGATCTTCATTTCTGGATCTGGATCTGGCGCATAAACATTCTGCAAAGAGGGGCGAATAGTTAGCCTTCAGATAAAAAAAAAATATATATATATAAAATATTTGAAATGAAACCGATTCAAAACAATAAATCTTATGCTTAACCATGAGATGTTATAATAAGATCCTTTAAATATTGTAAAAAAAAGAAAATGTAACTCCAAGCTCACCTGAAGATAACTATTTCCAGCAGGATCATCCAGGATAATGTGCACATCCATTTCCCCTGCTATTATCTAAGAAACATTTTAAAAATACAACACATTAAGACTCCAGAAAAAAATGTGTGTGTATATTATATATATAATTATTAAAAAATGTTTATGCATATATATATAACTGATTATGTCTTTAATTTATTTTTCCGTATATTTCTGCCATATGTACATTAACTGACAGTCACCACTGATAAGCTACATTAAGACTCCAGAAAAAAATGTGTGTGTATATGATATATATAATTATTAAAAAATGTTTATGCATATATATAACTGATTATGTCTTTAATTTATTTTTCCATATATTTCTGCCATATGTACATTAACTGACAGTCACCACTGATAAGCTACTACTAAATATTGTAGAAACTTAATTTGCTGTAAAGTTGCTTTGCAACGATTTGTATCGTGAAAAGCGCTATACAAATAAACTTGAATTGAATTGAATATATGCAATATTCAAAGTATTCAAAATATTCAAAGCATTTTATAATTATAAAAATTACTAATTCTATAAATATGTAAATAGTTATTATTTAAATATTAATTTTTTCAGAAATTCAATATTTGTTTATTTTTCAAAATCTACAAACAAGCTCCTTTTTAGACACCATACTGCGAATACTGTCAGAACATTTAACAGTGAGGAACTATAAGCGGCCGTTTACACGACAACGTTTTCAGCCAAAAACGGGAAACTTTTTATGCGTTTCGACTGTTCGTTTACACGACAACGGCGTTTGGGGAACTGAAAACGCATATTTTTGAAAACGGGTTACAAAATGCAAGTTTTTGAAAATGGCACCGTTATCGTTTCCATGTAAACACCCAATACGGGAATCTTTGAAAACCGGTGACGTCATGCACGTGCGTAGTACGTGTTAGGTATGTAGACATGCGCAGTACGTGTCGATTTTAAAGGCAAGCGCGAACAAACATACACAACAATAGCGGAGTATATGGTACTGTTGTTGCTGCTCAAAAGTTTGCCAACGCTTCTTCAGCAAAGTGTGGATTTACTTCACCAATATTACAACCAACAGTGGAGACGCATCATATAATCGTCACTTCCCTACAGGTACTGTTTACTAACAAGGTGACAGCGCCAACTACTGGCCTGGCATACGTAATACAGCGTTTTTGGCCATTTTCACAGATATGTGTAAACGCAAATAGTTTTGAAAACATTGTCGCGTATACTCGCGTATAAACTTTTTAAAAACGCAAGGGAAAAACTTTTCCGTTTTTGACTACACCGTTGTGGTGTAAACGTAGCCTAACAGAAATTCAAGTAATATATTTCAAACCTTGTCAATCTTTTGCCCAAAGAGCTCCAGTTTCTCGGCTCTATCTGCTGTAGAGCTGTCTCCACACATGAAGGGGTTTTTCGAAACAATCTAAAATAAGTATAAATGCATTAAATAAGCATAAAAGGAGTTGTTTGTTGATAACAGCAAACACTGTTAGCAGGGCTTTGATTCCTACTAGGTCTTTGATGTCCTTGAGAAGTCCTTCCAGTGTAGTGAACTTCCCTCCAAGAGCCGCCATCCCCAACTCAAACTCCAGCTCAGGAATCAACACGCTACATGTCTCTGACTGTAACACACATACATATATCAAGGACGATACATTTCACATGTAAAATATGTTCATATAGTGTATCTCAAAGATGTTGTTAGATGAACCCACCTTCAGCAGGTCTCTGGACATATCTGAAGGGTCGGTTAAGTGGAGTGTTATTCGGGTTCCCAGCTCTTCTGTGGCTCCTCCTGATTTCACCTATTTCATGATGCCAGTAAAAAACAATGTAAGATATGGAAACAGCAAAAAATGTATAAATAAATAAACTAAACAGAAGTATAATTCTGAAGTATATTATACCCACCTCATTGGTGCGATGTCTGCAGCTGTCACAATTAGTGGCCATTATAATGACCTCTTTAAAGTGTGGAATTTCTGCAACTGGGTTAAGGGACTAATAAACTACTTTCTTTAAATTATGATGCACAATGGTTAAACTACTTTTATGTACCATTTCTCCATGCAGCATTGTTATGCAGTGCCATTTTCACAAAGTATTTTTTTTTTTAGCAATTTACCACATAAAGAATAATTTGAAAGTGTATGTAATTTTCTAGCATACTTTAAAGGATACGAACAAGCTTCATGTTTGTATTGGCCGGGGCGTTGCATTCTGGGCAGTTTGTGTTGAACACTAATACCTCATTTCTCATTGTGTCTAGATCATTGACAGGCTTTTTGTCATCTTCTTCTTCCTCTGTCTTTAAAAAGAGATGAAAAAAGTTAAAGAAACCGAGATCTTGTCGTTCTCCACACTCAGCAGATGCTGTAGCAGCTTCTTACCTCTATTCCTAGCACAGCGTTGTGTTCAGGCGTCCTTTTGTAATGCGTGACAGTGAGAGCCGTGTCTTTCTGAGGCGCAGATGGGTTCTCAATAAAACTGTTCCCTGATGGATCATCGATAATCTGTAAATAGAAATCAAATGAGGTATTCATTAGTTCTAACTTCATGATAATAAACAAGCAATAGTGTTTAATCTTTGGTCAGTTGCATTGAATTTTTCTGTAGTTTGCTATCTGCAAGACTTACTAATGTGAATTCCTCTTCTACTTCTTTAAGTTTTTTCAACCTCTCGATGAATTCCTCTATTTTTTCAGCTACAGCTGGATCCGTTGCCTGAAATGTGGAAAGGATTAGGATTGTCGAATAACAAATCCCTTCACATCTAATGAAAACTACAAAACGAATAAATCTATTATGGACTTTTGGAATTATTTTGATCAAGTCAGCATTGTAGATAACAAACAATTGCATAATATTGGCATATGGTCAAGGACGAAAAGGGTTTTTTTCTGTGCAAAACATAATAACTATCATACATTTTTACCATCATTTACAAAAGACACCCACTTAAATGTCAATGTAACAATAGTTCATACACCAAAAAATATTGCCAGGCATATTTAGAACAAGAAACATTTGATTTGAAGTTCACAGTGTAGCCAAAACCTAATTAATTGTAATTTTAATAATAATAATTCCTTACATTTATACAGCGCTTTTCTGGGCACTCAAAGCGCTTTACATAGAAGGGGGGAAATGTTTTAAACGTATTTTAAATCTTTACCAATCTTTGCCACTAACCTTCAAACCACTGTTTTACCCATTTGTAAGCAAGAATTTTTTTAAACCATTTAAAAATGTAATAAAATCTTTTATGATCACATTTTTCCTTTTATATATTTTAATCATTTTTACAAACCAAAAAAATGTTACTGTAAATGATGATAGAACATTTGTTTTTATATATTATTTTCAAAAAAAGTTACTTGAAACATTAAAGTAGACACTGTACTTGTATTTAATATGCTTTCTGTGCATATAAAATCTCTTTTGCAAATTTAATTTGATGGAGGCACCAAAATGGGACTCGTCTTTGACCCATATACCTATATAATGTATGCTCTTGCAACATAAATTATGGGTTTCTGTTGTAACACAATCAATGTCAAATTTTGTGAAACTCATTGAGGTGCACAGATAAAACACACACCTTTCTAATAGGTTGGTCTTGTTCTAACCCCGCCACTGCTCTGTCCAGAAGGCCCTCGATTGTTGACAAAGCTAAACAATCAGAAAGAAGAAAAAGTAACTGATCAAAGTGTAAATTGTAACTTTCCGAAATATCTTTCTGTAGATTTTCAGACTTGTACTTCAGTTAGAGGTCACAATGGAAAAACTTACAGCCCTTCTGTGTGAAAGCAGGAATTTCAAAATCAAGTTGTGGAATTCTGGTGGATGCGCTGTCAGACTTCACAACCTCTCGGTTCATGTCCTGCACAAACGAAAATCTATTTGCTAATTCCTGAGAGAAACTTCAAATGTGGCACCATGATATAACTGATCAGATAATGAATCTCTAAAACACTTTAAGAGTAGATCCATACCTCTTTGGTCTTCACCTGTAAGGTGTACAGCACACCCTGCTCTTGTATCCGACCAGCAGACTGGATTTCTGTGTTGGTCCAGTTACAGTGTGGACATGTGAAAGAGCTGATGATGATTTCTTTGAAGAAAGGGATCTTAGTAAGCAGTAGACGTGTACTTCCCTGGACAAAACATAAAATTGACATTATTTAAATTTTGTATTAGTACATAATAATGTATTAATTTAATAATAATAATCTGTATATTTACATTTTCATAACAGTTCATGCACAAACTCTCGATCACTGTAGGTTGCTGATCTTCATCTTCTGGATTAATGTCCTTAAAAACACCACCGCGGACTCGTTCCTCCTCAATAACTGACATCCTGCCAGGCACTGTAGGGTAAAACTATTTCCACTCTCTGGATTACTGGTAGAAGTGGTTAGATATTAATGAGTGGCGTTTTGCTAGAAGTTTCCAGCAGCTTTCGCACGTTTTTGTGTAATATCCTCATGTCCGCTTGTATCATCACCGGGTCAGAGCAAGTTCGCCAAACCTGTCAAAATAAAAGTCTCGATTAAATATTTGTGATGGTGCACATAATACTAAAATTTAATCGTAAGGGAAAACCTGATTAGTGCATAAATGTGCTTTATTTGCGTTAGGTTTTTTGGTTTCATGTATCGTTTCATAGGCCTATATTGATAATGCATGCAAATACACTACAGTACATCAACAACGGTAACTGAAGAACAATAGCGAGTAACGTTAGTTAAACATAATGGCGGTATCAACCATGACACAAAACTACATTTTTTTCGTTTGATTTAGGGCTGTGTGTGTTCTTATTAAACGTTTTATTCATTTACTATTCAATCCGGCAAAAAGTAACTGATCAAAGTGTAAATTGTAACTTTCCGAAATATCTTTCTGTAGATTTTCAGACTTGTACTTCAGTTAGAGGTCACAATGGAAAAACTTACAGCCCTTCTGTGTGAAAGCAGGAATTTCAAAATCAAGTTGTGGAATTCTGGTGGATGCGCTGTCAGACTTCACAACCTCTCGGTTCATGTCCTGCACAAACGAAAATCTATTTGCTAATTCCTGAGAGAAACTTCAAATGTGGCACCATGATATAACTGATCAGATAATGAATCTCTAAAACACTTTAAGAGTAGATCCATACCTCTTTGGTCTTCACCTGTAAGGTGTACAGCACACCCTGCTCTTGTATCCGACCAGCAGACTGGATTTCTGTGTTGGTCCAGTTACAGTGTGGACATGTGAAAGAGCTGATGATGATTTCTTTGAAGAAAGGGATCTTAGTAAGCAGTAGACGTGTACTTCCCTGGACAAAACATAAAATTGACATTATTTAAATTTTGTATTAGTACATAATAATGTATTAATTTAATAATAATAATCTGTATATTTACATTTTCATAACAGTTCATGCACAAACTCTCGATCACTGTAGGTTGCTGATCTTCATCTTCTGGATTAATGTCCTTAAAAACACCACCGCGGACTCGTTCCTCCTCAATAACTGACATCCTGCCAGGCACTGTAGGGTAAAACTATTTCCACTCTCTGGATTACTGGTAGAAGTGGTTAGATATTAATGAGTGGCGTTTTGCTAGAAGTTTCCAGCAGCTTTCGCACGTTTTTGTGTAATATCCTCATGTCCGCTTGTATCATCACCGGGTCAGAGCAAGTTCGCAAAACCTGTCAAAATAAAAGTCTCGATTAAATATTTGTGATGGTGCACATAACACTAAAATTTAATCGTAAGGGAAAACCTGATTAGTGCATAAATGTGCTTTATTTGCGTTAGGTTTTTTGGTTTCGTGTATCTTGTTTCATAGGCCTATATTGATAATGCATGCAAATACACTACAGTACATCAACAACGGTAACTGAACAACAATAGCGAGTAACGTTAGTTAAACATAATGGCGGTATCAACCATGACACAAAACTACATTTTTTTCGTTTGATTTAGGGCTGTGTGTGTTCTTATTAAACGTTTTATTCATTTACTATTCAATCCGGCAAAAAGTAACTGATCAAAGTGTAAATTGTAACTTTCCGAAATATCTTTCTGCAGATTTTCAGACTTGTACTTAAATTAGAGGTCACAATGGAAAAACTTACAGCCCTTCTGTGTGAAAGCAGGAATTTCAAAATCAAGTTGTGGAATTCTGGTGGATGCGCTGTCAGACTTCACAACCTCTCGGTTCATGTCCTGCACAAACGTTCATGTCATTTCTCCTCATAAGTTTTCCAGTGCCCTATGCAAAGCATAGTGCATACAGTAGGCTTATGCATTCGCATACTCATAATAACTATTTGACAAAATTGACCATAATATGTCAAATATGTAAAGTAATTCCCTGTCATCAATGTTTGTTTCGAATCAGCAGCCTCTAGATGGTGCTCCATCAGCTTCTGTACGTTTGCCTCATGCCTTCAGTTCTGCTAAAGAGTTGATTTGTAATAAAGCTGGTAAGATTCTGCTAATATACAAATCCTTTATTTTAAGTAATAACAACCAGAATGTAAACAACCACATCTGATATTTAATAAACAAGGCTTTCAGGATTTTACATTGTTCTGACCACATAATTCCTGTGAAGAATCTCAAATTGAAACTTGTGGTAAACTATGACAATCTTCTTGGCCTTCAGCATCTCATTCACTGCAGTGGACTTACATTGTATCATATGCTGTCCTTGATGTTATGCCATGTCCTAGCCAGAAAATATCACAGATTTATATTTTACTCATAATAAACCAGCATTGTGCAAACTGGCCCTTGGTGCCAGAACAAAACTATTGACTATAATAAAATATAGAATATGCTTTATAATACACCTGATGAACAGACAGAAATGAACAGGCTTATCCATTACACAGTTACATCTGTATTAATACTCAGTTGTGTTAGCTACGTTACTACCATATCTGATGCGAACTCTATTTAGGTTGTGTATCGAAACGGGGAAGGTTTTTTTTTTTTTTGCCCACATAGTTGAAGTGGTCAGTGGGTAGTGTGAAATTTAATCATGTGATGTTTTTTTCCTCACAACCCTAAAAAAGACCTTCCTGTTCCTGCTGAGCTGTTTAGCATTTTTGTGTAATGATACCAGACAGTTATTACGCTTTTGGCGACACTGCCAGGGTGCTGTCGTAGAGATGCTAAAAATATTTTTTATTTGATCAGAAAACACCATTAGAGGGTTATGATAATGGTAACCTATAAAATCTTGATTGTTTCTTGACATACAGTAAATATCGAAATACAGGATTTAGAGAAGAAATCTACCTAATTAAACATAAATAAATATAAAAACAGTATCAGTAAATAGAATGGTTTCTTTGTTTGATTTAAAAAAAAATGTTTTAATTCTTAAAAATCCTTATTACCAGGGTTAAATTAGATACTGGATGATTCATTACAACTGGAGGAAGGTTATATATTCATCAACTGTAGGAGGAGAGTTATTACATTGAAACTTCAGTAGAAACTTTTGAAACTGCCTACAAGTTAGTTTTTGAAAGAAACATAAAGTCTTATCATTTAAAGAATTATATATTATTATATTATATTTTACAGCATTCATATACAGTGGACTTATTAGGAAAACTGATGCCAGTCAGAACTGAAGTCTGAATTAGACACATCATTTGATTAAATAGATGAGAACATAATAGGTCAAAAGGTGGCGAGTGTAAATTTGCTAAAAGAGAACCAACCACTGTCCGAAATGCCCCTGAAACTTCACACATAAATTTGCACAGGGGAAAAGACCATGACATTTCATGATGTCATGGAAGCCGCTCTCTTTAAACGAGTCTAGCAGAGGAAGTGAGCTTCAGATTCAAGAGCGTGCAGTATGGAGATCAAAACAGTCTTAGTTATTCACACTTTGATGTTGATTGTAGGAGGTAAGACAAACTTATTTCTTATTTACAACCATTTAGGCTACATCTCTGACTTTTAAAGTAGCGTTGTGGTTGACTAGTTAGTGTACGTATTTACCTGTTGCCTTCAAGTTAGTTTTCATGTGTACGTAGGTTACATCGTAAAATAAGGTTTCAGATGTATGTCAGTGCATTAAATGCTTTATTGCATGATGTGTATGATAGACTTTTACATGATTTGAACATTTTCTTAACTCATTTTGTTATTCTTATTGGATTGGTTGAATGATATAACTTTGCTGTGCATAAACTAAAGTGGTAACCTGCAGCTGTTCCCTCAAAGAGCTATTTATACCTTATACAACTTATAAAATGTAGTTTTGCTGATATAAATAAATGTATATAGGTTGATTCAGTGATATTTAATAGTTGGTTTGACTTAAAACCAGTTAATTTAGATATCACCATTTTTAGGTTACCATTTTTTTTCCATGTAAGTTTGCTCACCTTGTTGTTTTAGAAACAGGAAAATATTTTTGCAAAGATGCACACAGTATCAACACAGCAGATGATGTTAAGTTTTTCAATAATTGTCAGTAGCAGTGAACATTTTGCACATATTTCAAAATTTTAAATAATTTACATTATTCTATGAAATAGTTTTACTATTTACTATGAGTTTTACTGTACTGTTACTCCCCGTTAAGTTTTTCAATAATTGTCAGTAGCAGTGAACATTTTGCACATATTTCAAAAATGTTAAATAATTTACATTATTCTATGAAATAGTTTTACTATTTACTATGAGTTTTACTGTACTGTTACTCCCACATACAAATTCACATTAGGCAATTAGCATTTTTACATATGACTAAAAAAATCACACCTCCATGAAGCCTGATTTAGAACTACATCTGTTTTATATGTGTACAACTCTGTGAGTAACGTTTTAACACCACGGTTTCCTGTTCCAGTGCGAGAATGTCGCTTTATGTGTCACAGTGGCAAGTTTTCTCTCGCTGCAAGATCGAACCACACAAGAAAATAAGACCACTTACAGCAGTCACTTTTTCTCTCTATTGCAAAGTGTAGCCCCCTCTCAGTTCAGCTGCAGCACCTAAAAGCGGTGAGAAAACACAAATGAGTCAGAGCAGAGTGTAGGATGTCTGTGGTCTTATCTGCCCCCCTATCAACCTACTGTTCTTCCATTCAACTAGCCTACACTTGAGTGCATTTAGCATTCATTATTAATGTTTTAGGTTGTTGAAGCTTTATTAAAACATGATTATACTGACTTCTTTTCATTCTGAACAGGCATAAGAGAATGTCTGGCAAAAAAGTATCTTACAGTGGCAGAAGGAGAAACACTGGTATTGAAATGTCCTCGAAAAAACTTCAGTGAGAATAGACACATGGAGTGGAGAAATCCACAAGGCCATCTTTTGTTCTTTAACAACGAAAAAGGTGAAGCCAAGAACACTGTGTATTGTATGAGAACCACTGAAGAATGTATTTCAAACACTTTTACATTTCCTCTTTATTGTATCTGATTAACACTAAAAATGTATTTCATGTTCCCCTACAGCGCTAAGAGACCCAAGAAGCAGCATTTTTACTTTAAACAACTCTGAATATACATTTCACCTGTCCAACATTACCTTAAATGATGAAGGGCTTTATAAATGTCTACTATATGACAATACAGTCATTACAAAAAGATTCAAAGTTAAAGTACTGGGTACGTATAAATATTTTATTTCTCATCTTTTCTGAAAACATCCATAAAATAGGACTATTAAAGATTTGCGGATGAATAATGGAATATGTAATTCAACTCTTTTGATCGGATCACAGGAATGCCAAAAATAGAAATGGCCGAGTATAAAGATAAAACAATCATCAAGTGTTCAGCAGAAGCGAATGGCCACCCACCTGAACTCTCATGGCTAATCAGTGGGGTTGAAATCGAAGGTAAGTTACGAGAAGTGTCTGAGTGGGCAGACAGTTAGGGGGCACATATATATATGTGTGTGTGTGTGTGTGTGTGTGTTTGGAGTCAGTAAGATTTTTCATCAGATAAATGCTTGACGAGCATAAAATAATTCTTTCAAAAATGAAAAAAATATCACTGACAAACAAATTCCCATGACTTCTGACATTTCTCTCACTAAGAAACGAATACCTTGTGAAAATAGAGGAACCATGATATTCTGAAATAGGTCAGCTAAGGACAAATGCAAACAATAGTACTCTCAATAGGGTGTTTCTCAGGCTATATGAATAATAAATCATGGATAAATAAATATATACACCCTGTTTTGTCCTAACAGCTCTACCCAATACCTTGCGGGAGGAAAGATCCGACAGGTCACTTGCAGTTAGCATCTTAACAGTCAAAACTCATATCAGGAGAGCAACGGTGATGTGCCTGGCAAAACATACCGCTCTCCCAAAACAACTGATAGATTTCGTCACTATTGAAAATCACTGTAAGTATACATAAATAGTAGGCAACTACATATAATCAATTGCAGGAATAGCAGAGACCACTAACTAGAATTCATATTTGCGCCCATCTCACCAACACCACCACTGATGTTCCAAGCATGTGACCAAAAACAGTGGCAATTTGACATAAATGACATTAGCCAGTATCAGAAAAGGGAACCAAAAGATTTGGGGATTTTGTCTGGCTGAGCTGCACAGGGAAAGCTCATCTACACTTTACAGTATTTGGTAGTTTCCTATTTAAGTGAATGTGTGGTTCTCATTAGAGTGGTCAATCACATGATGTCAGGGAAGTCAACTATTTCTTTGAACAAAAACAGCTGTGTTCCCCATCCAGAATAGATGCACTATATATGTGTAATATAACAAACACCAAGTCAGATTCTGATAAGTAAACATTCAAACAGTTTTCTGATGGGGTTTCGGAGTAATTGAACGTTTTTATTGTTTTTTTCACATAGCTGTTACAGCCTCCACGACAAGGTACTCCAGTACTAGAGATGAGCTAAAAACTGACACAATGATCACAGCCACTTCTGCTCCTGCCATTAGCAGTACAGGTGAGTTTTTCCTCTTCATTTCATGTATTAGGATAGGTCACTTCATTTTTTAATGGCCTCACCAGTTACACTAAATAAACTAGGTATTTCAAAAAAGTCTGAGCATGACAGAATACTTTAAATATAACTCACATAGAAATGAAAGCAGAACCCCTTTTGTGAGATGGCTTCACAGAAAACCACAGAATGGAAATTGCTTTTGCTCTTTATATCTCTCTGCCTCCATCTTCTGGTAGCTTGTGAATACTGCACACAGTCATTTAAAGGCATTTTAGTTTTTTTCTCGTTCATGGTCATTCTGCTTATCTTTTCTTTTACATTTGATATCTTAACAACTGTTTAACAAATATACCATCTGATTACAGCACACATGGAACTGTCATCAATTTCAGAAAGTACTGAAGTGCTCCCAACAGAAGACGTCACTACCTCAAACAGCATGCAAGGTAAATACGCAATTATGCATGACAAAATACTGAAACAATATTTCCACTCCACCTAAAAGTTAGTAATTGTTTTTATAAGACAATTTCAGTGTTTGTTCTCTGTGAGTAATTGATTTGCTTTGTGATCTCTTTTAGTAGAGGAACATTCCACAGCAATAGATATAAGCTTGATAAGTAAGTGTTATTAAATTTAATTGTTTAATATGTAGCATAATATACTGAACATAATATATCATTAATCTTGCTTATTTTATGTAGTGAAGTTGATCTCAGATCTATCTTTGCATTTCAGCACACAACATAAACTCTTCGGAATCAAACTCACCTGATGAATTCCTGACCAAAAATGCCACCAACTCACAAGGTGTGAAGCTCATGCTAATTTCTAGCTTGCGCTCACATAAATGTCTATATGAAAATCAAAGCAACATGTAAAGGACGTGAATTACTTATTGCAGTATTACTTTGTGTATTTGCAGGTTTTGGCAAACAACACGATCTAAAGGAAAGCTCACACTTGCTGATCCTGCTGGTCACATGCCTTGTTATATGCTTGTTTATTGTAGTCATCTTCTTTGTGATCAGACTGCGAAGGGCACATATAGCCTGGAAAAAAGGTAATATAAGATTATTTATATATTTATACTTTAAGTTTCAATTATATTCTAGAGGCTGGGTGAGATTTAATTCTGGATTCAATTTTAATCTGTTGTTATAACAGAGAATGAAGAATCAGACCAGTCTGTGGAAAGCAGCAAATCAAAATCCAGTCATGAAGAAAAGCAGGCCCAGCAAAGGAGAAGACAAGGTATAACTGCTTAAACCACCTAATCTGGTAGATCAAGCATACCGGCTGTTGTGTCTTTTCAAACTATTAAAATGTTGTGTTTCTCTTGATTTTCTGTCTAGGTTTTTGGAACTCAAATTTCACAGAATACAAAGTGGAAGAAACTCCACAGAATACAGCAAATTCAGTAGCTACAGTAGATGTGATCACTGAAACACAAGACAATTCAACAGAAGCTTGTAACAAACTTGACAGAGCTTGTGTCAAGGAGACTGAACTTTAGAGGAGAATTCAGCAGGTTCTGAATCCTCATAAAAGACTGAACTGATTTTGCAGTTCTGTTATGAACAATGGTGCTCACTAAAAGATGATGAATATAGCTACCAGTTTTTGTATATACTGTATGTACTGTTTTTACTTTTCAGTCGTTGCTGGTTTACATTATTTTTATACTGAATGTAAAGAAGTGTTTTATTATAACGTGTGCTTTATTGTAATGTGTTTATAACTTTAAAATGTTCCCTTGATAAAAGTGGAATAGACTGCCTTGGCGTTTCATCATTATATTAAAAATGTATTTTTAACCTGAAATGGTTGCTGCTTTCCCTGTTATCAAGGGTTGGCCTTCTGACATTCAAAAGTCAGAATGCCTTTTTTATAAATAGTGCAGAAAATTAAACAAACTATTTTATGTAACGTGTGGATGTTATGCTTGGCGATTCTTCTAAAGAATGAAAAAAAAAAAGTGAAATAAGACTTAAACCAAGCTCACTTTTTGGATGTCACTTCCTCTTCAATATTGTTTTGTGTTTAACGAAAACGCATATGCTCTTTAAATATGAACGTGTTTAAGCTTTAAAACAATTACTAAATTACCTTTGTCTTGACTTGTGGACACATTTTCTACTTATTTTTTGGCGATTCGTATCGTATTCTGTATGCATATCGCCACCTTCTGGGCGTTTGTGCAATCCTCATAGTTTATTTCCTGGTTCCTGGTTCTTCTTCTCTTTATTTACGAATTTCGTTTATCTTCCGGTTTCCTTTCTCCATAACAGGATAAATTATATATAAAAAAATTAAAAATACTCTGCCCCAAAGGTTTCAGCCTACCCTAAACCTAACCTTACAATATTAAAAATACAGTGTTGGTAGAATAATCTGATTGGTAAAGTTAGCATCATTTGTTAGAACACCGACGCTGCGTGATAAGCTCCTCGTGCTTCAACAAAGCCCTTAATGTTGCACAATGGAGCAGAGTATCATCGCCTTATTCTAAAACCATTATTAAATTCAAACATTTGCTTTATACGTATTGTAAAAAAAAAAAAATATATATATATATATCCTACTCTATCCTAATCTGTATTACTAATGGTGTTTCTTTCAAGTAATGATTGCTATTCACTGTTTTGCTGTATCATCGATGCATTCCCAGTGAATGTGAAAGCTGATTTCATTCATTCACATGTACAGGTCACTGTTCCGCATTAACAGCGGTTGCGGCAAAACTGAGGGGGATGGTCTGGATTTTTTTTTCAACCAGTTATATCCTTGCTTCTTCCCACAATGGGCGTGGCTAAATGAAACATTCCGGTTTTACATTGGTTCTTACGAGTTGAAGTTGAGTCATCTGAAATCTCATTGGCTCGGCTACCGGCAATATAGTGTTCTAGAACGTTCGGCCGTTCTCTCTTCTAAGCAAGGCGAGGCAGTTTGTCGCCATTCCAGCTTTCCAACTGTCATATTCACCCATCTCGGTTATTTCCAGCTTGGTAAGGTGTTTGTTCTGTCTTTTTTGGTTATGTTGGCTTTACAATCTTATATTAAATATCTGCTTCTCTGCTTGCATGTAGTATATCACTGCTTTATGAAATGCAAAGAGAGCTCAATTTTATTTTTTTGTTTTTAATTAATATTTGGAATATTTTCCGGGTGTGCTGAACCATTAATGATTCCGTTATAGATATTTATTGTATTGAATAACATTAAAAGTTGTTTCACTTACATAAGTTGCTTTTTTTTTTTTAGTTTTCACTTGCTTTTGTCGAAAGACCCTGAAAGATCAAGTTTCGTATTCTAGTTAACGTTACTACAATCAAAATGCCTGAGAGAACAATACGTTACATTTAAACCGCAACCGGTACCTCGTGTAAGTTGATCCGATCACGCTCCTCACCCGACCTTTAGCGTTGATCAGTTTTTCTTGGTCGCATAATACTGCTTGTATCACTTTCTTTTTAAATTGTACACCGACACATTTAGCACAATAACATGAAAGTTTATAAAAGTTGAATTTAAGACCGGTTTTGATCCGTGTGATTTTGAATTCCGTATTTGACCATAGAATCTTCTAGAAGTTCGAACCACGTGGTCTGACGCGTTTCCGCGTGTGCTCCCAGGCTTGGTGTTCAGTGGTTTCACAACAGCATGTTAGCTAGTTAATGAAAGAGATCCTGATCGCTTTCCTTTTGTTTGCCAGGGTTCAATTAAAGGTTTTTTTAGGGGTTCATGCACGTAGTGCTGAAACCCTATTGTAATTGTTAGCATTCTTATTATTGTTCTACGTTAAAACTGATCTTGCAGAACAAACCGTAAGGCCTAGAGAGCTGAAACTTTATAAGATAGTAGTAGTAGTAGTCATGCTCGTTACTCGGACGCAAAGACTCGCCCCAATCGGCCTATGGGGGCGCTATAGCGATCAAACGCAAAACTGCTAGTAACTCCTGGACCGTTTGTCGTAGACTTAAAACTTTTATACTTTTGGAATCCTTGGGTCAAAACAAAGAAAAGTGTAGAAAGTCAGATTTGCTCTATGAGGTCTGGTTTTCCCGCCATTTTGAAGTAAATTCAAAACCTACTTTTGCTAACTAGTCCTAGGTTTTTCGCCCGGTCGAAACCAAAACACTGCAGAAATATTCTCTGGACAGTGAATAACAATAATTAGCAAAAAAAGTTAAACTTTTGACTCACGGTCGCACCTATTATCCATTAGGGATGGGGCCACTTTCACTAAAATGGCTTTAACTTCTGAATGGACTGAGATCTTAAAGCTGAGGTCAATCTTTGGTGAAATAAAAAAAATTAAGCAGCTCTGCCACTTCGTGGCGCTATAAAATGGAAAAACATAAAAACGGCTATAACTACGCAACCGTTGGTCCGATTGACTTGAAAATTGGTATGCAGTGTCTTTGTCCGAAGTGGCACAAGTGTCTGAGGACCTTCACGTTTCTCAAAAAACATGGCCGCCATTGGCCAATTAAGTTTGAGCACCTATTAAACAAGGTTAATGGAGGCTGATCGGAACGAAACTATGGGCATGTTTGACTCATGGCCCTAAAGGTCTGTAAGAATCTTGAAATAAATCGGCCACTAGTTGGTGCTAACGAGTTTTATGGCTTTGCAATCACGTGGTGTTACACATCCACACGATATGCATATCATTTGAAAGATCTCCTCATAACGAGCAACTTTGCCTCAAGAACCATTGCTGTCAATCAAATCGTTCATTAAGTATTCTCAATTGTTAAAAAAACTAGTCCTAGGTTTTTTTGCTCAATCTCGATCTGCAGCGCAATTCTCTGGACTCTAGATCAATAATTATCAAAAAAAATTTTATTTTGTCCTTCGGTTAGCTATAACAGGTCATTTTTAAAAAGGGGAGTGGCCAAATACACAAAAGCCTATAAAACCTAAACAAAAACCCAAAACATTAATTTTGTCCTTCGGTTAGCTATAACAGGTCATTTTTAAAAAGGGGAGTGGCCACATACACAAAAGCCTATAAAACCTAAACAAAAACCCAAAACTTTACGAAACTTGGTGAAAACATGTGACAGAAGACACTTAACATGCATGCAAAGTTTCATAGAGATCAGACCATAGGTGGCACTATAACAATTGAAAAGGCCTCAAATACAATATTTGTATGGAAAATTACCTAAAATTGTAGAACATGTTCATATATTAACAAACACAAGGTCTTATCATATGATAGATCTCCTCATTCTGAACAACTTTGCCTCTGGGACTAGTGCAGTCAATCAAATCGTTCATTAAATATTCTCAATTATGGCAAAAAAAAAAACTACTTTTGCAAACTAGTCCTAGGTTTTTCTCTTAATCAAACCGCTGTAATATTCTCTGGACTCTCTAGATCAGTGATGGGCAAACTTGGCCCTTCCAGGCCACTTTCCTGCAGAGATTTGCTCCAACCCTGATATGACTCACCTGCCTGTAGCCTTCCAGTAGTCTTGAAGACAATGATTAGCTGGTTAAGGTGTGTTTGATTAGGGTTGGAGCTAACCTCTGAAGGAAAGTGGCCTGGAAGGGCCAAGTTTGCCCACCCCTGCTCTAGATCAATAATTATCAAAAAAATAATTCATTCATTCAAAAAAATTGTCCTTTGGTTAGCTATAACGGGTCATTTTAAAAAGGGGTGTGGCCAAATACCCAAAAGCCTATAAACCCTAAACAAAAACCCAAAACTTTACGAAACTTGGTGAAAACATGTGACAGAAGACACTTAACACGCATGTGAAGTTTCATAGAGATCGGACCATAGGTGGTGCTATTACAGTTAAACAGCCTCAAAAACACAGTATTTCTGTAGTAAATGCCTCAAATTGCAATAAAATGTTCATATATTCACTTATACACTATCTCCATATCATATGATAGATCTCCTCATTCTGAACAACTTTGCATCTAGGATCACTGCTGTCAATCAAACTGTTCTTTTAAGTATTTGAGATTATTAAAAAAAAAACTACTTTTGTGAACTAGTCCTTGGTTTTTAACTCGTAATCAATAAAATCAGCACAGTACTATTCTCTAGACTCTCTAGGTCAATAATTATCAAAAAGAAAAACAAGTTGAACATTTGCATTTGGACCACCATAAACCCATCAGTTTATAATGTTCTTTACGTAGTGTACCCAATGGCCTATAAATTCTAAAAGAAAGCCCACGACTTCTCAAAACTGTGTAAAATGATGCATAATTTCATTCTAAACAAGCATGCAAAATTTAAGAGAGATTGGGCAAAAAATAACACCATAATAGTTATAAAGGTTAAAAACACTGCTGTGTGAGATTGCAATTATAACCACTAGATGGCAGTGGAAGACCACTAATGGGCTCATTAAACACACTAAAACAGTACTGTTCATAGGTTTGCTTATGGAATCATGCTTACACATTACAAACTCACTGTTACAACATTTAAAATCACAGTCATAGTCAAAGTTTACCATTTTGTTCATACAGACATATCAGTTTTTACTATTATGCCAGATTATGATTAGAGAACCTGAAAATGACAAACTCTTAAAGAAGACTTGGTCACTAAGTTTGGTCACCTATCACTTATTGCAAATATCTATATCTG